AGAGATACAAAAATGATAAGCAACAGCTAAAAAGTAAACGTAAGTAAACAGCCAGAAATAGAACCAGAGCTTTCGGACAACACTAGTCCTTCCTCAGTGGCGAGTGAGTGAGGGTTACTAAATCGAAATTTCGGATTACTTTAATCTGAATTTCGGATTAGGCCTACTAATAGGCTTATATAATACTTAAGTGACTCAAATAGTAGCAATTAGACTACACTTCAGTAAAAATTTAGGGTTTTTTCATTACATTCGTTAAAATAATAATTAAAAAGTAATAGTAATAGGTAAAATAATACGTTTTCACTTTAGTGTGAATTTGAAAATAACACAATAGGCCTATATAAAGGTTATAAGGATATACGCACGCTCATAGCCTATATATCCTCCCTGGATCGATTCTTGATTAACCATACATTGTGACATAGTAAAACACAAAGTAGGCCTACTTCGCGCTGCCGATTTAATTAAATTGCGTCGATATTTCCTGGGTATTGATAAATGTGTCTATTCCCCGCACAGTATCTGGCTAATATTGGCAGACATATGAGCAATGCCGACTACATATTATTCCGGCCCTTTGCAGACCATTTAGTGGCGGCTCCGGCGAAATATTCCCCCAGAAAATTTTCATCCCAACCCTCCCCCTTCCCAGAGAAGAAGAAAAACCACAATTTGTTGGGGAGAAATAAAAGTTTCACTGTTCCCTGATATTAGTAAACAATCTGTATTTAAAATCGATTAAATAAGCCTCTGAAATTACTAAATTGTCATATTTTTTTAGAGCTCCACCCCCTGGACAACTTTCAAAACATTTTAGTCGACACTTGATCACGCACACTTTGCTCTTGTCGGGGACCTTTCCCCCGCCCCCAAATTGTATCTTGCCTCTTCACATGCCCCTCCGATTTCAGACGCTGCCGCCGCCACTGAGACCATTATTACATCCCCAGTTCAGTAACAGATACCGTACTTCCCGGGTCTAAAGAGGCAAGAATATCTGTACAACCCAGGCGTAGTCCTAGTTAAGTCCCCATGGCTCGGGGGTGGGGGAGGGGGATGTGCTTTATAAATAACAACTATGCCTATTTCTGATCAAACGTGTCTGTTGACGTCATATCACTAATGCTATTAGGTCTACTATAGGCCTATGCCATGGATCTCTCTTGTTGCGGAGTTCAAGTATTGCCCGGGGTTTCCCCTTTTTGCAGGAAGTAATACTGTACTAGGCAGGGGTTTCCCTTGTAGCAGGATTCAAGTAATACTGTATATGCAAGGCAGGGGTATCACTTGTTGCAGGATTCAAGTAATACTGTATAT